ATGATTCGATGAGCAAACGATAGTATTACGTAGTTATATATTAACGGCGAGTTAAAGAAATTTTGGAATGTAAAAAAGAGGGGGATTAACAAATAAATATTGAAATATTTCGTTTCTTGATTTGAACTTTGATAAAATCTTTTTTCTTTTTTCTTTTTGATATTATGTAAAAAGAAATGGAATGACATCATTTTTCTAAATAAACGGTTTAATTAAAAACAAAAAAAAATTGAATGTTGGCTTCACGTTTGTGAAGCTTTCGAATACTGATTCAAATTTTTTCCCTTTTTTTTTTGTTTTTTGTTTGGAAACTATGGAATGAAAACTTGATAATCGTGAATAGTTCCGACATCTCAAAATTTTTGTATGAAAATCTAAAACGTTTGCTTAATTTAAAACCAAACAATCCAACGTGTTGCGAATTGACCGCTAGTACAAACTGTTCTCCACAAACTATTCTAACAATCATTTGAAATAAATGGAAAAGCTTTAGAAAATGTTTGAACACGTTTTAAGAATGATATCAAGAATGTTTCTGTTTGCATTTCACTATTCGCTCAAAAACACTTTTTAAAATATCCATTTTTTAACTTAATTATCACAAAGAAAAACGAGAGATATCTTTCGCAAAAATCGAATATTTTGAATGTAATTTTTGGGAAAATGTATGAATATTCTTTTCATTTCCAGAAAAAAAAGAAAAAAAATTATAAATTTATTGAACAATCTAATAGGATAAAATGATTAAATTCAATTGGCGTAAGAAATTGTACACACGTAAGTACATGTTGAGTAATGGCTGTTCACTGCTGTATTTCATTTGACAATGTAATAATAATCGATCCAAGAAATTTACGAATACATCAAATAATTATTGTTGTTTTACGATTTACGACATCTGTAAATATCTACTCGACAGAGTCGTAAAACATCGCCGTAAATCGTTGACTATTTCGCCACTGTCAGTTTTAACATTATCAGCAACACACTTATTAAAAGGATCTCAGAATTGAATAAGAGAGAATAACGAGTGTTCAAATGATTTCCATTTATATTTATGTGTTTGATGATAGCGTGCTTGTTACAAAAATTCGATCCTGTGTACTCGATTAATATCGACTATGATATCAAATTTTGATCGAAATCTATCTGAGAATCATTTGTTAAAAAATTTTTTTTCAATATTTTCTTGAATAATTTTCAATTTTATTCGTATCGTTGATATTATCAACAGCGTTTAAATAATAATTTGAATAATAATTAGGCAACAGTCTCTGTAACCTAATGAATAAGGTCTCTTAAACCTCTTAAATTACGGATTTCGAGTTCACCACCAAAGGTAATCACGAATTATAATTTTTGAAGTTGGAGCATAAAAGCTGTTCCTATAATATTTCTAAAATAAGAGTAATTACATAAATCGTTGAAATAATTCGTTGCTTCAAATTTATCTAAAACCAAGACTTTAACTTTACTTTATTCCTTGTATTTAATTTCACTCAGATTTCTCGTGTATTTTTCTCGCATCGTTTCCAATACCAATAATTAATATGTAATATAATTTACTTCCTCGTCGTTACAGCTTAATTTCAAAGCCTGTACAAGTGAAAATTTGTAACTAATCTGCCACAAGGGGTGTGGCTAATGGCGTTACTCCATATTGCATACCTCGCATTATTAACCAATTTTATCATTTTCAGGTTGTGCGGTAATTTACGAATACGTAGTAAATATAGAAAACTATGGCCTGTGGCGATAATAACGGTAGAATATCGAAGTAAATCGTTGAAAAAAATCAACTTCTTCGCGTCACATTCCGACATGTGTTCCATCAATTCGACTGCTTATGCATTCGAAACATTTCGAACGCGGTATTTCAATGAACACTCGTTTGATATTATAAACGAACCGTTGATTTATACATTGCTTCGAGCTCACGTTAACTATTCATTCATATTTTCAAATTCCGTGCACAGAAATAGACAGTGCAATTTATTACATTGGCCCAACCAGTTGACTCTTTTCAACACTTCAATCATCTTTCTCGATTTTCTAAAATCGAGTCTACGAGTCAGTAATCAATGATACTTTCGAGAATTGGCGGGAATTTCGAACAGAGAGCGTCACTTTCACATCGTTCCATACTCCTGTGATAAGATCGGTTCGAAGGGGAACACTTGAAACGGAGCAAAAAAGAGGATGAAGCGTATACTAATCGAACCACTTCCTTAGGGGTCCAGTTATACCCCTCTAACTATCGCGGTAAGCCATCGAAACTCGTAAAGTGCAAGACAAAATCGCCGTAAATGCGTGCGTGACTGAAATATGGCGCAGTAATGTTTATGAGATGCTGTTACTTGTCAGTTACCGCTGAAAAGAATAATAACCCGCGCCTGTTACCACGCCTCGCTACGCACTTATTTATTAATAACAAGTTACACAAATCAAGGTATCGCTAGGCCGGCGTGGAATGATAGCTTTTATCCCCCGACTCCTCGAGGGTAGCCACGTGGGAAAAACCATTGTGCAAAGCAGAACGCTTCCTCCCATTTTCCGCATTCTGCCCACAGTTAACGATTATATTATTCATCCTCGGATAAAACACGGGATCGATGGAATAACTCCCTCGATGCTTCGATCATCAACGTTTCTTATTACGTAAATATTCGTCGTTGGTTAAAAATGAAGAAATTGTGAGATGCTTCTTTAAATGTTTACATTCCTTCTTCTTCTTTTTCTTTCTAACTTCCGGCAATCGAGCATCGAAAGAAAAAGAAGAAATCAACACTTTCAACAACGCATCCTGCAAAGAATCCAATTCCGCAAGGGGAAGGATTGCAGCTCGGTAATCTGTTAACTCGCGGTTGCATATCGTACACGCTTGCGTGCCACGGTTCTTCCTCCTCCGCTCGCACGTTAATCCACATCGGTAACCCGGCATCGGTCTGCACATCCGCATCGGTATTCGCGCATTAAATATCGGTATATCGTGCTTACGTTTCCAACTTGTCGATCGTTGGGCGGGGGAGGTTGTGTGTGTGTGAGGGCGAGGCGCTTATTAAGTTAGTCTCCTGGGTGGATTCCTGAGCAACGTACGAATTACATCGATCTCGAACGTACGTCGAACGATCGCGGGAAACATCATCTCCCCGTGTGCAACGAGAGGGTGATGAGGACCGAAGGGTGGAGGAGAAAGGGACGAGACGCTCCCCTTCGATGGGTGAAAGTAATAACAGTGAAACGTGCGCGTACACAACGGCGAAATCACGCACGCTGACCGGCTCACCTCGGGGACCGGGTTTCCTCTCGTATACGTGACCGGTGCTCGAAGCTATTTTTCGATACGACCGCCACTTAGGCGCACGCCGGACGCAACAACCTCTTCCCGGCGTGGAAAGGGACTCGAGGATCCGCGTCCTTGGGAAACCGGAGGGATAATCGTGGAACGGATGTATCCACCGTGAAATTCGAGCGAGAAAGGGTGGTTTCGCTACTTCTCGCTTCCCACCCTTCCTTCTCTTTCGTCGAGAGGAGAGCAATCTAGAGAAATCTTGCTCTCTCGAAATTGGGATGACGATGATGATGTTGTTGTTGCGATGTTATCGTTTAGATTGTCCGCGATTTTGTGATGGAAGCTGGTTAATAGTTTTGGTAAGAGGTGATTTCTTTTTTTTTCTTTTTCTTGGCTGACGATAGGATTCTTATCCGCGGTGTCTTCGACGCGTGTAATAACAATATTGTTTCGTCGAGGGGGTGAGAATGTGCGTAAAAAGGTATAATAACGAATTGAAATAAAAGTGAAAATAAAAAAAACTTTCGTTCATTCAGTTCAACCGAAAATAATAATAATTCTTTAACGAAAAATATAATAATGCCAAAATGGAATTCGAGTGCTTCGTTTATATTGCGTTAAGATATTAAATTCAAAATAATATCATAACACCATTTTTTTACGGGATTAAAAATAAAAGATTCTTTGATAAAATTCTTATATTCAAAATAATCTGAACGGGAGACCCATTTGTGTGCACAAATTACGCAATACCCCAATAATATTTGATTATACGAGAAATGAATCTTCCACGGCTCGCTTACACTTGCGCCTTAAACGAAACGTTCACGATGCGACAGTTTGAATTGCGGTGGCCGACACTGTGGCTCGAAGAAGTTGCTGGCATCCAGGCTATCGTATAAATTTGCGATATCGCCGTGTATCCCATATACATATATCTATCTATATTATATATACGTTTATATACATATGCATGTATAAAAATATTATGTGCGCGGGATATACGGGTGGAATAGGCGAGCATGTCCATGGATACGTGTATATATAAGTGGAAAGGTTGGAGGAGGAAATCGGGTCACGCCGAAATATTTTTCCGTGCCTTTCCACTTTAGGTTAGGGGATGTGAGCGCACGAATTATGGAACGTGTGCAAAGCACTCGAAGATGCTTGCTACAATTACGACCGATTTGACGTTTTTACGCTGCGACGACAAAGTTTGAGGATGATAAATTTTAATGCTCTATGTGCATCGATAATGGAATTCGTTAATTGAAAATATGACTCATCGTATCATCGCGAATTGATTGATCAATTTTAACGCAAAAGATCGAAGGATCTTAATTTCGTTTAATTGTAATATATAATTTATTAATTTACGCGTAAAAGATCGTTTTCTTTTTATCGGTGTTGAAGAAGATTCGTTTGTTTGATCGAAATTGAATAATTTTAATTATATTTCTTTTACGATTGAATACAATGACCTGATTTAATAGTAGAATTAATGGCTTATGTATTGATTTAAATATTAATTTAAATAGGTATTTTAAATATTTTACATACGAATGATGGTACGTTTGGAACGTTACGATGAAAACAAATATGTGTAAATAATTACTTTTGTTTTTCTAATCAAATAATTATAAAAAGAAAAATATCAAAAAATTGTAATTTTTATAAATTCCAATAATTAATAAAGAGAGATACTTACGAATGGTTTTTCAACACAGTCTCAATCATGTTGGTGGCGACAGACCAAATGAAAACGGACCCGTCTGAAGAACCAACCGCTATGTACTGACCATCTGGGCTAAAAATAGCTCGTGTCCAGTCAAAACCGACTTTAAAGCCATCGGCGCTAAAAATGAAATTAAGTTCATTTCAAAAATCGTTATTACAATCCAAAGTTAATATTAAATATTTTATTAACGAAACTCTCGAAAGACTAATCCTGAACGATTAAAAAATAATTATTCGTTAAAATTAATTTTCCTTTTTTGTTTTAATATTCGTTTTATCCTCATTTATGATAAAAATCGGTAGTATAGAAATTGTTTAAAATATAGTAATTTTGGTCATAAATGATCCACAATCGGCAGAAAAATAATTTGTTAAGTTCCTACGAAATATAAATTAAATAAAAAATAAAAATCTGTTTTGTCTATAGGATTTTTCTCATTTACCTAAATGATCCAATGATCTTCTTCATCCGCAGATCGATGAGTTTCAACGTATCATCTCTGACACAGCTCAAAAGGTAATTTGCATCTACAAACAATCAGATATCGCTATTTAAATTTACATCAAGTTAAAGTTTAATTAGTTGCGTTAATATGATTATACATGAATGATAAAAGAAAAAAAAAAAAGAATTTATAACTTCTTCATATCACACAATTCGTTTGTTGAAGATTATATACTTTCGAGAAATCTTTAAAGAAATTCATTTTTCATGTCTAATTGAAACAAAAAATTGTTTAAATATATTAACTTTTCGATTAAAATTTTCTTTCGATTATTTAACGAGTATTATCTTGAAAGTTACTTTTTTTTATCATTCACTGCATATAAAAAATTGCGTATGATCAATTTGAATAAATAATCGATTAAATTCAATCGTGATGAATCTTTACAATAGCAACGGTGGAAGAAAGAAATATTTCAGCTTCTTAAAATTTATTTAAAAAAAAAAAAAGTAAGTAAATAACTCTTTTTTCGAGATATATAAATCTTATAGGGAGACGTTCGAGAAAGGTTTCATTGTGAATCTAGCGGCCATTTCCCAAGGAATGGTATATTATACTTTAATGGAAGTATACATAATGTATTACGGTGAATGATAAAGGAAAAGCATTAGAGTGGCGCAATGTAATCGAGCAGAATTTTACAGTCTTAGCGATATCGTTTCCTTCGAATTTTAATTTTATGTCGTCGAAATTATTCCTGTGCACCTTTCCAAAGAATTCTTTCTTGCAAGTTAATCTTTTCAAAGAAGGCACGATTTTTTCTAATACAATGAAATAGTTTTAAATCATCAATTCATGCGCAAGGCTTAGAATTAAATTAATTACAGCAATGGACAGATATGAACAAAATCACGAATAATCTACGTGAAAAAATAAATAAAAAAAAAATCCTTCGTTATTCATAAAAATTTGAGTTTGGCAAATGATCATAAATTTAATATTTTAACATTTCAAAAGAAAAAGATACAAAAGATTTGATAATAAATAATCATTATATTCAAAATTAATTAATCGTGTATCAAAGTATGGTATTTGCGTTTTATAGTTTATTCAAAAAGTAAAAAATTAGAAAACTTGAGGTATTTCGTTTTACCCGTTTCTATTAATTAAGATTTTCATTTTTTAAGATTTTATCGAACGCAATAAACCGTTTAACTACGTGTAACGGTAACGATAATACTAGGCTTTAATTAATTCCAGATTAACAGAAATACTTTGAAACCTCATAATTCGAATAATAATTCGAGTTGAATTACAAGTTCCGCGAATTTCGAACAAAAGATATTTAATCTCCCGAAGGATAATATTTTTAAACAATGATAAAATCTTTCCAATGATAAAACCTTTTAATTGATGAAATGTAACGCGCAAAAAAAAAGGAAAGAAAAAGAAAAAGAAAGAAAAGAAGAAGAAAAATTAAAACAGTTAAAAATTTACGATTTATTTCCCTCTTGAAGAGGAAAATAAGAAGATCATACAAGCTGAATATCATTTTTAACGCGTGCTAACTGTATATCTTCTAACATTCCTACGATACAATTTCTTATAGTGCTTGCAATCTTTTTTTATGTCCATGTGCTTCAAATGTTTGCATGCAATACGATTCCTCGAGTTCTACAAGTTGGAACATCTTCATAATTCAAGATCTGTCCATCTCCCCACAAGTTTGAATAATTTCCTTTGATGCCTGCATCAATGCACAAAGTGCATTCAATATGGTTGATTAACAATTTCGCGAATTTCTCGATATATTTTCTCTTTGTCGTGAAGATGACAAAGGTATTATTTATTCTTCTCTCTTATCGTTCTATTTCCACGTTTCAAATGCTTGGAATTGTTGTAGGAAATTATATATATATATATATTTTAATAATTACAAAAACATCTGGAAACTATTATTTTTTCAAAGTTTTCAATAAATTTCAACAATTTATTATTATCATTTAAAATATTTAATCGAAATAATTCGTTGACATTTAATCAGAAGGATATAACGTTTATTCAATTTATTAATTACTTTTTTTTTACAATTGAAAGCATACATAAATATAATCTTTCTATCGTTAATTTATCACGTATATTATTTGTTTAATCTTGCATATCATCTGATTAATTAATAATTCCTACGGTTGCAGTCGCCATGATTTAATTTTATGCGAAAAGTTCATGACAAATGATTCTTCTTTGCAACTGGCCCTCTAATCCATCATTATTTATTCGGATAATATTTCAACCGATAAACTTATGTAATTTATATACGTATAAATTTAAGATGAAATATTCTGAAAACGTAGAAAGACGAAACTTACCACGAGATAAATCCAGCGAAGTGACCTTTCCTTCCAATAAAATGTCATTTGAGCTGGATTCGGCTCTTGTATCCCAAAATCTAATCCTATGATCAAAATGGCCGCTAATTATCGTAGAGCCCGCACCGTCCGAAGTTACAAGATCGTTGCAACTCGAACCCGCAAACTTTGTTTCTATACCTGAAAACGACAAGATTTAACAACATTGAACATCAAATCGTCTGAATTCTTACTTCTATTATAAACGATAATTTTTTTATTCAACGGTATTCGTATCGTTGTTTCATTTTATGCCGCATGAAAACGTAGTACACGAACACAAACATTTGCAGAGCGGGATGAATGAAAGATTTCTTTTCCTCGAGCATATTTGTAGAAATAAAAGAGAGAGAGAGAGAGAAGGAGAGGGACATTTTCAATTTCAATTTTCTAATAATATTATAAACGTGCCGTTACATTGGCGGTAAAATTACAAATTTATAGAGTCGTTCCACCAATTGGGGGGAGAGCGGTGTGAAAAGAACGAAATCTCATTTCTCGGTTCGAAATTTCAATCAGATCGCGTGTTCCCGCATTCACATAAAATCTGCTTACGTCGGTACACCTAAGTTGACGGGTATGATGCATTACCGCCAAGTAATTGGACCCAGTAATTCCATCTTCATAGGAAGCACGGTGCCTCGGGCGATATCGATAACCGGCGTATCGTCGCTGTAAGTTCGACAAGCTAATTGATCGTCTACAATAAATCACTTTTGATTTAATGTAGATCATCGGGAACAAAGTAAAACGGACAATCGTACGCGAAATTCGTAATGTCAGAGTGCGTCAGACACTGGGCAATGGCAGTCGTTTTTAAGGTTATTTATTATCGAAGCCGTGGTAATTATTTCGATACGATTTATACCGTGACAAAACTGTGTTGTTACTCGCGTAACCAAAATTTCCTCGATTGATTTTATTCGTGACAATTCTATATGGAATTTACGAAATAAAGATTTGTATAATTTTCTGGAAAAAAATTTCGAGAAAAATTTAAGATGATTTTTCGAAGTTAGATGAGCAAATTCTTAATTCTTGTCTTATCTTTGATTATTATTGGAAGAAGAAAAGAAGAAAAAATAGATGTTTGAAAATACACATATATTATTCAAAAATCTGTTGATGTAAATATAGAAAGAAATTTAATGGCCCGAGGAAACAAGTGTGCAATTGTAAATTTAATTTTCAATAACTGATTTTAAAAATTTGTTTGAAAATAGTTGGACAAACATTTTCAGTAACTGGTTATAATAGAAGTTTTAATCTGTGTTTAGTGTCGCGTTTACTTTGAAAGATGAAGGTGGTAGTTTTAAGGTAAGGTAGTGGATTTGTAATTTATCCGATTTGCAATTTCAGTGTCAAAGAGTTTCTGTATTGAAGATTTCTGCGTTGATTCTCAAGAGTTGCGCGGAAATGCCGACAGAAACGTCGTTTCCTGAAGTAAATTAAGCTTGAAATCTTGCTTATTACACTGTGGATATCGATGGAAACGACCAGTCTGAGAACTACAATTTAAAAGAAGAAAGCAATTGTAATTTTAAACACGTTTAATCTTTATCTCTTCGGGTAAAAACTTAACATTTATCGTCAAAAGATTTTTTAAATCAAATTTTAAATCATCCCTCCCCATTCATCATCAATTTATACTTTAAATTTAAAATCCAAGCGTTAACTAAACAAATTCGAAAGTAATAGAAACAGTTATCGACAGTTTTAAATATCAAAATCTACTTATCAATAAATATGGGATTAATAAAATTCTTCAATTCTGTGTATTAATTACACGTTCTTCTAATTGAAAAATTTCCAAACAAAATATAATAACTTGTTGTTATTTGTTATATTTATTATACAGATCTGCAATGTTTATAACTATTGAAAATATTTACAGAGATCAATTAGTGATGATATTAACTGTATTGTGCATTATCTAGTTTATATACATTTTCTATTCCCTTTGAATCTTATTATTTTCTTCGTTGAAGCAAGTAATCTAAAGTATCTAGGCGTTTCTCGACGTCGATTCACTTTTCCTGCTGCTACCCGTATTAACCAAGAAAGCCTCTCAATGGATTACAGTTAACTATAAGCACAGGCGCTTTCAATCTCGCAAACGTGTTCTCTTTTTGTGAATTTTCTAGACTGATCTACATCGTTCTAACTTCAACTTGTGCAAAGCGTAGCATAAAAGCAACGAATGATTCGTACATACACAAACAATGTACGTTATATAGAATAATAGAAATAAATAATGAAAAATATGAAGTAGAAAATTTTTGTATCTTCACGGACGAATAAGAAATCTTCCTCCGAACTCTATCATCTCACCGCTCCATTTCTCACACGATCGAATTTACAAATAAAAATATTATTACATAGGAATAATATGGGTATAAAAATCAATGATTGCATTAATCTTGGAGGAACAGTGAGAATCATGAGACACAGATTCAAATGTGATTATACCCGTTGAGACACGGATACTTTCTCAAGTGTAACCCAATTGTCGCCAGATTTCCCTCGTTCATTAAGTATTTACCGTCTATAAACAGGAACAGTGAAATTTGAACGGAATAAGCATTTCGCGGCAGATGTTTCCCTAAGCCGACACAGCTGCGAAACAAGTTAACAAGATGATAGCAGCAAGGAAGGATAATAATAATCCGATAGAAAACAGCTGATCCACTTTAAGCGTCGTTTTTTGTCTTAAACCGCCCCGTGCTTTAAACAATAATTCACGGTTAAACGCGCTTTCAGCAACGGCCTCCATTGTCCTCTCCTCCTCCTGCGAGATTTATTTGCGCAAAACTTTTGTACACCTCGCCCACCTTCGTCCCACCTTTCCCTGATAGCAAGCCTCTCGATTTTCACTATTTTGCGCGACAAAAGCGTGGGAACGGACGTCGAGTGACGTTGTGTGTGTGTGTCAACGTGTATCAAAATCCCTTTATCCACGAAATTAATTTTAGAAACTACTCGCGAGAAAAATGTACTAATTTTAGGCGAGTAATTTCGAATTGTTGGATTTACTCAAACCCAGTTTTTTTATATTTATATTGCGTAAAGAGAGGAGAAGGAAGACGAGAGAAGGAAAGGAGCGCTCTTGTGCCTCTCTTGAAAAAGAGAAGGGAGAAAGAAAGAGAGAAGAATTGAAGTTTCGCGTCTAGATTTCGTCGAGTGCTCGTATCCGCCTGGGACAAGTTAGCGAAAGGGCTTCAGTTTTTGCCTTCAACGACCCCTTCTCTATTATTGCACAGAATGATTCGAGAAATGATTCTGGAATAATCTGGAAAAAGTTTGGAAGGTAGCCGTGCAAACGTTCTCTCGATGCGAAAATATTCTGTGTCGTGAAAAATTATCGCAAAATCTTGCACGAAAAGAATTTTAATTTAATCAATTCTAGTCGATCGAAATTCCAATTACAATTCTATATTATTTTCTAGGCAATAATTCTAATTTTTTTAAATTGCAGCATTTTTCAAAAGATTTCAAAAGTGTCTTTATCACTAACATCATTAAAATGGACCAACAATCTCTCAACGAGCCGTGGGATAAATTATACAATATGATCCTTCCAGTCAAATCTTGCGAATTAACACGACCGTTCCACTATCATCCGCGGCAGGCTACACCGTGTATGCAATGTCAACACTGCCTCACCCACGTTGGCCACCCACAAGTTCGATTGTAGCAATGTTGACCATAATGTAAATCGATATCTCGAACGGGTTCTTCGAACGATGATACGGTTTCACGAGATTAGTGAACCGCCTGTTGGGGATCCAAGTGTAAATCCCGGGTACATTTGCAATGCCGTCCACCTTTCATTGGCTCGGCTCATATCAGTCAGTCACGTCCCTCCTGTCGTTCAATTTACTTTTTAAAGCTACCCCTCTCCCCCTATTTGCCGAAAGCGATTCACGTATCCTCGCCAGAATAGAGCCACTTTCCTGACCGCAAAAATTATCACTTCGCCGCCCTTTTTCTTCAAAGCGCCGCTTATCACGCGAGGATCGCGGCTCGAAAATTGTTGGAAAAGGGGATACGGATCCGCACGAGCTACGATCTGTATTTCATTTCCCGAATCGGTTGTAAATAATCGGCTTATCCTCCCCTTTTTAAATCATCAATCCGATAATAAAAATCCTGCTCCACATAATTTCTTTGGATATATATATATATATATATATATATATATATATATAGT